GAGTTTCCTTGATTTTGATAATTGGGCTCTTGATCCAAGGAATTGTACTGCCCTTCCTTGGATCAAACCTGACTGCTTCCCATTCACCCAGGTGCAACACGATTCCTAATAATACAGCATGTACAAAACAGTTAACCCAATATTAAAAGATATACTGTATGAATTTTTTTTTTTTTTAATATGATAACTATTCACACAGCTCTGTGGTGCAGTGGTCAGCACGGCTGCCTTTAAGCAGCTGACTCAGCTTCGACCCCTGGCGGAGTCTTTCTTTGTCATATCTGAGCACCTCTGCAAAGACAGTGATTATGTATGAATGATGGTGAGTGTTGAACGATGATGAAAGTTTTTTCTTTCTTTTTGGGTCACCCTGCCTTGGTGGGAAATGACAGACATTAAAAAAAAAAAATACTGTATGATGTAATGCACAGCCTCTCCTCACTTAACAACAGAGTTCCGTTCCTAAGACCATGTCGGTAAATGAATTCATCACTAAGCAAGGATCATACTATAATGGTAGTGAGTTTGTGTCAACTATCTTTGATATTGTTTTAATGTCACCTTTGTGCCATTTATAACTTTTTAGTATTTTTTTAAGTGTTTTATACAGTAGTGTACTGTATATTTAATAAACAGAAAATAATGGAAATCAGCTCTAATATACATTATTTAGGTATGCATACTGATCAGAGAGCCCTTCGTAAGTCCGAGTTATTGGTAAACAAGTATGTTGCTAAGTGAGGAGAGGCTGTTTAACATTATTATTATTATTATCCTTTTTTTTTATATGTTGGCTGTCTCCCATCAAGTCAGGGTGACCTGAAAAAGAAACACTTTCACTATCATTCAAACTATCACTGTTATATTATTTGTTGAAAAACACTAAGCCCATAAGAATCATATACAGTAGCAACTAGGGAATGAAAGGCATTCAAGATTCGTCTGGTACCTTGGATAAGAGTCCTTAACCAACATCAAGGCACCTCCCTTGAATGGGGAGTCACATCTGAGAATACTGTATATCTTGTGCATACAGGAATTGAACCAAAATTATGAGAATTTCACAAAGCCATCATTAGACAAGTTACAGGAAGATCCAAGGAACAGGAGCTACCATCCCTCTCCTTGGATCAAACCTGAGACCCATTCCGCATTCCGATTGGGGGCTGAGAATACAACAATAACAATGAAAGTGCAGCAGTCCCCCGCATCCACGGGTGATAAGTTCCAAGACCTACTACGGATACCCGAAACCACAGAGTAGCAAACCATTAATAGAAGTTGTTTTTCATTTACATACATACTTATGACGAAGTTTAATTGATAAATTATGCAAAGTAAGTCGAGAATTAGCACTTTTTCACTGATGGGAAGCACTTCATGGCTTCTCTTACGCTTTGAAGAACTGTCAGCATCACTACTATTGTGCTATGGGGCCATTATTAAGGGTTATCTTCAGGCCACAATAAACAGCAGATAACTGAAACCACAGAAACAAATCCATGGATACAGGGTTCTACTGTAAGTTATTATGAAAGACAACAGTATTAGTCTAATTCCTTGGACACAATATACAACATACCTGATATCCTGTGGGGTAAATCCTACAGAAAACAAAAGATCAAGTTTCTTTTTAAACATGCTAACATGCATGCGCTCCAGATTTCGGTTGCGCTCAAAGTATACTTCAATCACATAGCGGTCACACTCCAGCTTATGTGATAAGTAGCTTGCCAAATCTTTGTGCCCTGTCAGTTCCTCTTTCTGGGACTGTTGGCGTTCACAGAATCTGCAAGAGTAGAATAATAGATCTGGAGTTTGCAAAAACAGAATGATGTTCAAATACACCCTTTTCATCAGTGTGTATCCAATATCCCAAAAACCACAGTAAACCATAATAAAGTTTAAAAAGTGAATGCCTACACATTATTGGTGATATTTATCAGCGAGAAACTTGTTTATGAATCTTCCGCCTTCATTAGCTCTGTAGTTTACAAAGACTTTCATCCTTTCCTTGTCATTTCCAGTGAAAGCAAACTAAATCAATTTCTTTAAAAGTGTAGCCCTGCAAGGTGGATGGATGCCTTGATGCTAGTGAAGGGCTCTTGATCCAAAGAATTAGAGCTAACTTACACCCTTTTATTCCTAGGTGCTTCATGACCCTACATGGCATATACATACAGTAGTCCTTACTTAATGATAGGTTCTTGGAAACTGCAACTTTAAGCAAAATGACGTATAAAAAACCAACTTTACCATAGACTAATTGATATAAACATCAGGGGTGCACAGTGCACCTTTAGCAATCATTGCAACAGGTTAAAATAAGAAATAAATGTTTGCAAAGCAAAATTTGTAAGGAGCACCTCTTACCCCCACAATTAAAAAAACAAACAATAACAAATATGGCAGGGAGCACTCACATAAACACAACCCACAATCATTCATACTTGGACAATTTAGACAAGCCAATTAACCTAACACACACATCTTTGGGCTGTGAGAGGAAACCGGAGTACCCGGAGAAAACCTTCGCAGACATGGTGGAGAACATGCGAACTCCACACAGACAGTGGCCCAGCCAGGAATCAATTTTTTGTCTCATCAACATTATAATGAAATGATGTTGAATGAAACAACGGTAAGTAAGGACTTTCTGTAATTAAATACATGATGATGTATGTAGAAAATCAGGTGTGAAGCCAACCACACATTACGTACTATGATAATGGTATACAAACATTAGGTATATTTATTCCAAAACATTTCGCCTACACATAGACTTCTTCAGTCAAATACAGAGAAGGCAGCAGAAGCAGTAGAAATATAAAGACAAATGCAATCAGTCCATTACCCTTTAACACGTAGTTCTGAGGTGGTTCAGTCTGACTACTATATCTTTAATTACATTGCTTGGATACCACCTCTCAAAAACTTGATGAGTTGCATGACAAATCCACGGCTTAGGTCTCTTACATCCTGCCTGTGCAGCTCGCTGCAATCTCTCCTCCACTCTTTTAATTTGGTGGTAGAAAACCCATAAGTCAGGCACAATGTCCTCTGGCTGCATCCCATATGCTGTAGATAAATTATTGTTATAATTTACTATTAATTTACTCTACAGTAAAGGTTATATACACCAAGTAGAGTATATCTCAGTGCATTTATACTATGAAGTGTGTATTTCTCGATGTATATACACTGAGAGCTTACTTTAATCCTTATTTAGGGATGAAAGTATTCTTGACTGGATGTGTACGCATTACATACAGCCTCAATAATTCTGTAGAGTCGATGAGATGTTTGATAGAATTTTTAACAAAATAAGCTAATCAAAACTATTAATTTGACCTGTCTACTACTTAAAAATGGTATGCTCTGCAATATATCATTACAGCTGTATTCACCTACATAAATACACAATGTGAACTGAGCACTATTTAAAAATGTATGATGCTCCTAGCATGTATCCACTTAAGAAGATACATTATATTTATCTTGAGTGGAAGAAAGAAGGAAAAAGAGTTGTCCTAGGAGGGGTTAGAAGAAGGTCATAAAGAAAGTTTTGAGTCCTAGGGGCTTGAACATCCAACAGGCCTGTGTGAGAATGTTTGAGCAGAATGAGTGGAGACAAGTATTTTTATGGCCTGATGTGCTGGTGGAGTGTGAGCAAGGTAACATTTATGAAGGAATCCAAGAAAAGCAGTTAGCCAGACTTGAGCTCTGAAGGTGAGAAATATAATGTTGCAACTCATGCATCATCATCAAAACATGTACAAAGCTAACCATCTCAGAAAAGTGTACATTGATTTGTAGCATGTCTGTCTCACTTAAGAGGACAGAGGCTCAAGCCTCCACCACTCTCTGCTGTATGACCCAAACATGAAAGAATTCTTCCAAATGCAAGAGTTACAGTATGAGTTTTATATCTAGTTTGTGTAGCCAACTATCTGCCCTTTTCCATGAAAGTGAGGAATATGCAGCTATTATGCTTATAACAATAGTTGCTGATGTGCTGATTATAATGATTATGACAGTGATTGATGATGTTGTGCCGAGTCTAGCATAAAGCTCCAGAAGTGCACGATGCATATACTGTACATACCATAGAGAATATCGAGCATGTGGTCTATACGGTTTAATGACATAGTCAGTATTTGCTTAGTCTTGACAATCTTCTCCGTGACAAGTTCCACTGGCACCTGGAAGTTATCATCATTAATTACCTAACTTCATCAAACAAACTTCAACCCATAAAATATATTCAGTCAATATTAACACTTCAAGGCTATCATTATTATGTCTTCATATAAACAATTGTTTCTGCTTGATGGAGTGTTCAGATGTTGAACAACCAGTCAGGCAGAGCTAGAATTAAGACCATGAGATTTCAGTTTGGGGCCTGAGTAAACCACTGAATTGCTCCATTCACTTGTGTGAATAAAATCACAAGGTCATAGCCAAAATAATTCACAACTAGCTCAACACTTTGAATAGGAAACTTTAGAAAATTCTTAGGCCATCATGAACTATTATCAAGTGACAAGTGGGCTAAATAATGGTCCACGACCATTATTAAGTCACAATGGGCTTGATAATATTCCATGACAAACTGAGAAATTGTCTGAAGTCTCCTCTCCAAAGTGTGGGATGTTTATAAATCATTCACTTTTCATACTATGAATTTTCATCAATTTGATAATTCATTTTTTATAGCTATAAAATTTCTCATTACAGTAAAATTTTAATTTCCATTGGAATAGAGTATCACATTACCTCCAATCTTTCAGCCAGGTAATAGACACGGTTTGGGTGATGCGGAAAAGTTTTCACCTCCGACATGAAGTACTTCTGATATCTCATTATCATATTTAACGTAAAGTAACAAAACCCTAGGGCTTCTGAGTCAGTGTGGAATAAATGCGGCTCTTTCAACTTCCTCAATTTTCTTTGAAGATCATCTGTTAAAGAATTCACCATTATTAAGGAGAGCAAAATAGGTAATATCCTAATACAGTATAATAATAATAATAAAAATTTTAACAAAGTCATCCCATGTTCAATGACATTTCAATGAATATAATTTTGCTAAGCACACAAGATACATTATGGAATAAAATCAAAGCTCACCCAAGTCTGGTTACCTTTGATGTTCGATTTTAAGCAATATGCACAAAGGACAAAGGCAAACATTCAGGTGATCATGTTTCCATAAAAAAAATATCCTTAATGTAAATGAAAATGAAAATATGTAGTAAGAAAATGTAAATAGTAAGAAAGGTGCACGAAAGTAATGCACACGGCATCCTGACAATTACCTACCCGACAATGATTCAGGGGGTCACTACCACCCTGGCCTTGTCCAAAATCAGTCCTCCTGGTTGATGGCCTGATCAACCAGGCTGTTGGTGCCAGTCGCATTCAATCCGACGTAAGCACCATAGCCTCGTTGATCAGGCGATAACTTGAGCAACTAATCTGGTTCCCTCTTGAAGACAGCATAGGGTTTGTTGGTAATTCACTTAATGCATGAAAGGTGTTGAAAAATCTTGACCCTTTACATCTATTGAGTTATGTTATAGTGTGTTCAGTGAACTCCTATTTTTCATTGGAGATACTATATATATACCTTTCACCATCTGCCAAGTCTCTTGCTCTCAAAGGGAGTAATTTTTATGTGCAGATTTTGGACTAATAGTCATATATAACACATATGAACAATGCAGCATTATCATTACCATGAATAACATCATATATAACATACCTGAAAAATGCAGCATTATCAACATCATATATATCATACCTGAACAATGCAGCATTATCCAAGGTATTCGTTGTAGCTGTTGAGATGAGATATTTATGTCTTTAGATAGTGAAGAGTTTTCAAAATAGCAGCATCAGACACAGCGAGGAATTTCTTGGAATGAACCATACGTAAAGCATCAATATGGTTAATTTGAAAAAGATGATTTAGTTCATGAATCACAGATTCGTGAACATTTACCTGAAAAAAAATTACGTTATTTTTTCCAATGAATGTATGTTAAAGACAGACAGTGAGAGAATAATCTTGAAAGAGCTTCCATTGAGTTAAAAATTGTTTTTCAACAGTAACTTTAAAATGTTTTTCTCCGAGCAAAACTTTGTCTATTATTAAGGCTTGTTCTGTCTAGGCTTATTTGATTTACTGCAGAAATATTTACTCTCTGTTATCATCCATAGATCTCACTGCTAATGATTTAGTCCAGTCACATGACATACGATATCAAGACAAACTTATCAACTCCTTTCAGTGATGTCATTAGCCACTTACAAAGCAATGAACACATGAATTAAAAAATTCTGTAACTTAAAAAATTATAAGCAACACGACTGCACGAACCCAAACATTACCCAAGCTAACAAAATTATTAATGCAACAAATATGCAATCTTACTTGTTTCCCAACATCTTTAAAATGACTCTTTCTGTTCTCATGACATGGGCTGTCAAAAAATTCTCCTTCTTCTAGGGAATCATCTTCAATAACCAGATGCCCAGGTTCATCATCTACATCCTTAGCCACATCACTGAAAAATCAAGAAAGAATATAAACACCAACAATGTTATTTGTGAATGCTTATGACAACTGTAGGCATGTAGACAACTGGGTCTTTATATGTAACTTCTCAAGGCATGCATCAAGGCATGCTGGAGTATGAGCAAGATAACATTTTTTAAAGGGATTCAGTAAAATCAGTCTGTATTAATGTTGGTAGAATTACTGACAATATGTTGAGTAGGACACAAGTACAACTAATGTGACATTTTATTGTGGCAACGTTTTCCTCTCCAGGAGCTTTATTAAGCTGTTACAAACAATACATGGACACAGTAATAGTTTTTATAACCTTTTATTGATGTGCAAGTTGATTTTTCTACCACTAGTATTACTTCTACTAACTCTAGTATTACTACTTCTACCACCACTAGTATTACAACTACTACATTTCACTATAAGCCTATACGTATACACCCTCTGTGTCCATGTATTGTTTGTAATGGATTGATAAAACTCCTGGAGAGCAAAACGCTGCCACAATAAAATGTCACATTAGTTGTACTTGTGTCCTTTTACTCAAAATAAGTCTGACATTTTTGAGTTCTGGATGTGAGAAGTACACTGCCTGCACTCTAAAGCATGGGTGGGGACACTGCAGTTCAGAAGTTTATTAAAATTGGTGGTTAGTACACCTCTGACAAGACAGCTATTGTAAGAATGCCGGAGAATGTAGTTTCTTTTTTTATGTGGTATGGGGCTGGAATAAAGTGGGAGGGAGGAGGCAGAGAGAAAATGTTAATTGTTGTTTCAGCTATAATGAAAGAAAGGAAGGGAAGTAAAGGAACAGAAGAGTAAGGAGGAGGCTTTGAAGTCTGAAGAGCACTTTGACCATGTAGGTTACCTGGTGCTCATGGCCATAAAAAAAAACAATACACAAGATAATCAAAAACAAAATTAACTATAAAAATTTATTAGCATGAATAAAACATACAACACAAATAAATACTATCACTCAAAGTTAAAATATCCAGCATCAGTTTAAAATCAGATTAAGATGTCAGTGTCAAACTACTCTCCTGAAAGTTTCCAAAGATCCCTACAGGAGAAAGGCCTAAGCCATAGGCAAATTGTTAAAATGTGTTCTACAGTCAGCTGCACACTACAAGCTGAGGTGTTCCGTAGCTCAGTTAGTAGCACACTCAGCTAACACACCGAGGTCCATAGTTCGATCCCCCGTACAGGGGGTAACACTAGGAAGTACAGTATTTCCTTAAGACACCTGCTGTCCATGTTCACCTATCACCGAGGAGGTGTGTGAGGGAAAAGTTCAATAGATAGGAGTAGCGAGGGGAATATATAGTAACAATAGTTTCATTGCCAGCTGCTTGTTAAGGTAGGGTAAGTCAAGCTCCCGCTATTCCCGCCTTTTTTTCCCCCCTCCCCGAAAGTGATAGTTTGCTTGCCGGCTACTTGTTAAGGCAGGGTAAGTCCAGCTCCCGCTATTCCCGCCTTTTCTCCCCCACCCCTAAAGTGATTAGTTTGATTGCCGGCTGCTTGTTAACGTAGGGTCAGTCTAGCTCCCACTATCCCTTCCCCTCCCTCTTCCCCCCCCCCCCCGAAAGGTGACGTGTGGGGCTCTGGTCAAACAGTAAATCACTCGACTCACAGCTCCAACACTACTGTAAGTACATGCCTGCCTTGTATTCTAGTGGATTTATTGGTTGAAAGCTTCACTTTGGACCAATAATAAACTTAGTCTTTTCAGCCTTGCTCTAAGTTGACTGTTGTAATAATCACCACATCTTTTAGGTATTGTACTTATCATGGAGAGTGATTATTTAAGCAGTGGGTAACCTGTCTATCTTTTCAGCTTGGATGACAGAGAGGGTCACCTGTCAATCAACGAGAAAAACTGAAGGAGACGGACTAACGCCCTGGAGACGTCCCATATTGGATTTACTTGCCTATGCACTTGTATGAAGAATCAGGACATAACCCCTCAAGCAAGCATCGAACTTAAGCTAAAAGAATCCTTTAGGAGTCAGGAATCGCGGGGGAAGAACTAAAAGCCATAAATGAAATCGAAAGAAACCCAAAGTATTTCTTCTCCTATGCCAAATCAAAATCGAGAACAACGTCCAGTATTGGGCCCCTACTTAAACAAGATGGGTCCTACACAGATGACAGCAAGGAAATGAGTGAGCTACTCAAGTCCCAATATGACTCAGTTTTTAGCAAGCCGCTAACCAGACTGAGAGTCGAAGATCAAAATTAATTTTTTATGGGAGGGGCCACAAAATTTGATTAACACAAGCCTACCCGATGTTATCCTGACGCCAAATGACTTCGAAAGGCGAATAAATGACATGCCCATGCACTCTGCCCAGGCCCAGACTCATGGAACTCTGTGTTCACAACAACTGCAAGAAGCCCCTATCACAAGCCTTTTCCATCCTATGGAGGGGGAGCATGGACACGGGGGTCGTCCCACGTTACTAAAAACAACAGACATACCCCCCACTCAAAAAAGGGGGGCAGTAAAGCAACAGTAAAGAACTACAGACCAATAGCACTAACATCCATATCATAAAAATCTTTGAAAGGGTTTCCTAAGAAGCAAGATCACCAACCCATCTAGAAACCATCAGTTACACAACCAGGGCAACTGGGTTTAGAAAAAGGTCGCTCCTGTCGTCTCAACTATTGGATCACTACGACAAGGTCCCAAATGCACTAGAAGACAAAAAAAAATGCAGATGTAATTATACAGACTTTGCAAAAGCCTTCGACAAGTGTGACCATGGCGTAATAGCGCACAAAATGCGTGCTAAAGGAATAACAGGAAAAGTCGGTCGATGGATCTATAATTTCCTCACTAACAGAACAGAGAGTAGTCGTCACAGAGTAAAGTCCCAGGCAGCTACGGTGAAAAGCTTGTTCCACAAGGCACAGTACTCGCTCCCATCTTGTTCCCCATCCTCATTCCGACATAGACAAGGATGTCGCCACGCACCGTGTCTTCCTTTGCAGATGACACCCGAATCTGCATGACAGTGTCTTCCATTGCAGACACTGCAAAGCTCCAGGCGGACATCAACCAAATCTTTCAGTGGGCTGCAAGAAAACAATATGAAGTTCAACGATGGAAATTTCAATTACTCAGATATGGTAAAACATGAGGAAATTAAATCTTCATCAGAGTACAAAACAAATTCTGGCCACAAAATAGAGCGAAAACACCAACGTCAAAGACCCGGGAGTGATCATGTCGGAGGATCTCACCTTCAAGGACCATAACATTGTATCAATCGCATCTGCTAGAAAATGGACAGGATGGATAATGAGAACCTTCAAAACTAGGGAGGCCAAGCCCATGATGACACTCTTCAGGTCACTTGTTCTATCTAGGCTGGAATATTGCTGCACACTAACAGCACCTTTCAAGGCAGGTGATATTGCCAACCTAGAAAATGTACAGAGAACTTTCACGGCACGCATAATGGAGATAAAACACCTCAATTATTGGGAGCGCTTGAGGTTCCTAAACCTGTATTCCCTGGAACGCAGGAGGGAGAGATACATGATTATATACACCTGGAAAATCCTAGAGGGACTAGTACCGAACTTGCACACGAAAATCACTCACTACGAAAGCAAAAGACTTGGCAGACGATGCACCATCCCCCAATGAAAGCAGGGGTGTCACTAGCACGTTAAGAGACCATACAATAAGTGGTCAGGGGCCCGGACTGTTCAACTGCCTCCAGCACACATAAGGGGGATTACCAACAGACCCTGGCAGTCTTCAAGCTGGCACTGGACAAGCACCTAAAGTCAGTTCCTGATCAGCCGGGCTGTGGCTCGTACGTTGGTTTGCATGCAGCAGCAGCAACAGCCTGGTTGATTCAGGCTATGATCCACCAGGAGGCCTGGTTACAGACGGGCCGTGGGGGCGTTGACCCCCGGAACTCTCTCCAGGTAAACTCCAAGTCATCATTACAGTGGTCAAGAACCTGATCTCCTGTCATCGGGAAAGATTACTTACGGCCACTAGAATAAGCCAGTGGGTTGTCACCAACAACTGCGACCCCCCCCCCCACCCACATCAGCAACGGCTTCTATTGCAACAATACGCAGTGTCACCAACACCAGACACCCAAGTTTTTAGCGTTGAATTCAGATATCTTTTATATTTTTAATTTTTCATTTTCTTTCATGTAGGATCAGTATTTCATATTTAAGTGTTTTATATTTCATATTTCCTAAATAATAAAGTGTTTATATTTGTCAGTTTTTTTTGTTCTTTTTCTATTCATTAATTTTCCTGAGGAGGAACCAGCCTTAGTAATACTGACTGAAGTTGTTACAGGGCTGAGTAAGCCTTCACAAGTGGTGACCTTGCCAGGATCAACTTGACTGAATCAAGATTCAATTCCATCTCGAATCTACCATTGGAACTTCAACGCCGCATACCAAAGACGGTTACCACCAACCATGAGTAATCATTCTCTATGGTAGGACTACAGTACAGGTATTTAAAAGATTTGGTGATTGTTATAGTCTCAATTTATTGTAAGTCAAGTCAGGCAGGATATAATATTTAATTCTGCCACCTTTTTGTGTGAGCTTGAAACACATTGGAGGATTAGACTCTAGCCCTTTGACTGTTTCAGGCCCCTCTCTGAAACTCATTCTATGTCGCCAAATATTCGAAAAAAAAAAATTATTTTTTCTTATGAAAATGTTAGGAATATTTTTAGTAGTGTTTTAAGCCTAAAAAAATTTTTTTGCCATCAGTACTTACCAAGATATAGAGCCGCAAAGTTTGCAGAAAGTGACGTGTGTACGGCAACAGCGGCGACCGCCGCCCACCCGGTATTCTTTTATTTACTCTAATTCAAAGGTTTCTTGCATTTTTCAATATTTTTCTGTTCCAGGTTAACTTATGTGGCCTGTGAGACCAATGTAAGGTGCATTGTTCAAATATACACTCATTGTTTACAACACAATAACAGAACAAACTTTATC